CAGCTTCAGTTTTTGTTATTCAGTTAGTTTTCGTTAACTGTAATAACCCTGAAGGAGACGGCTCGTCTCACCTCGAGGGACGTCTGGTCCGAAGAGAAGGCGATGAAGTAGCGCCCGTCGGGTGAGAACTTCCTGAGAAAGCAGGGCGGCTTCTCCACGTTGACCACGGTGAAGTTGGGGAACAGGTTCTGGTGGAAGCATCGGACCCGGTACCAGTGGGCTCCGGGCCGACCGGAGCAGATCCTCCGCCTCTCGAGACGATGGACCACGTTCTGGTTCTGGATGCGCCTGGGCTTTAGGGTCGGGGTGTCCTCGTCCATCCCGGCGGTCAGAGGATCGTTTCAGGCGTCCCTCAACAACGAGGACAGACGGGCGACGAGGAAAAACAAAGGACTCATCGCGGTCCTGGTACCTGAAGGAGGACAGGTGGAACCCACATCTTTACATCACTGTCCTGCAGCTGGACACGTCCTCTGTACCGGAGACAAGTGGGACCATCAGCCTGTTAGCAGCTCACAGTTTAAAAGACTCCCTCACTGATGGTATAGGGGTGCATTAGAGGCTCTGGTCTGGGCAGCTGATTCTATCAATGCAGAAAATTATCTACAGGATTTAAAACATCATCCTCCACCAGACCAGAATAAAACACTCCCCCCAAAACCTGCAGACCTGGTCTCCTCAGGTCCTGGATGTTTACAGACTCAGGGACTGGGGTCACAGAAAGAAACACGGAGCTGGAACAACTTTTGAGACATTAAAAAATCAAAATAAACTTTTATTTGTGGGAAAACGAAACATCTTGAAACAGAACCTATTTTTTAGCAGACAGCTTAATTTAAGTATAAAGTATATTAAGATAAATGATGGTCAGTGCATAATAAATAATTAGTATTAAAAAGGTACATGAAGAAGTGATTATATATTTATATAAAATAAATCATGACAAAATCAGGAAACAGATTTGGTTATGAAGTAATGCAGCTATTGGCTAACGTGACATAAACAGCTTTAACTTTATTATTTCATCTACAGATTCACGTTCAGCCACAGTCCTTTCTGTTCTAAACACAGACGATTTGTTAACTAATCTATAAAAACATATTCAACATGATATTTGACACATTTAAGCTAATAAAAGCTCACCTGCTGCTGAAAGTTGTCTGTCGTTACTTCAGAGCTGCTAACATCGACAACACTTCCGGTCTCAGCTTCTGGATTCAATAATTAAAACTAAAAACCGGCTACTTTTAGTTTGTGCGGTCCAAAAATAATAGATGAGGTGTTTTTGTCGGCTCTTGGATCCGGATCTGGGTTTGTTGTTAAAGTGGGGAGGAAAAGCGGAAGAGCGGAGAGAGAAAAAAGCGCCGTCTTTTGAAACAGCGCCACCGCCTCCTCCTCAGGCAGGAAACGGAACTGCAGCTTCCGGAAGCTCAGGTGGTCAGGGCTGGAAATGAAACTTTAATCAAGAGGTGGAGCTAAAATGAGTTTAAAGGTAACTATGACTGCAGGTGGGAGGACAACCAAAATAAACCCAGTTAGCAAAATAAACAGAAACTGGAACAATTTTGTGTTTTCATCGACAGCTGTTCCAAAATGATTAACCCAAAATGTCGAGGGAACATGTGACTGCGACAATAACAAGGTTTACTTCATTTGAAAGAGCTTGAAAATATGTCAAAAATATTTTTATTGATTCAAAGAAATTAAAGCATTAAAAACATCCAAAATTCTGGATTAATTAAGGCCTTTAAATTTACTCTGAATAATGATAAAAGTTGCAACAAGTCACTAAAAATTGCATTATTTCTAATGTTATTTTTAGCAATTGTTCCACTTTAGTCAGCAGTATGGATAAATACTCATCAGTTAATTTTTAATAATTAACCTAATTAGTCAAGAAAATTGAGGGTTTTTTTCAGCATTGCTTTTATTGATTTCATGGTTTTCAACCTTCAGTACAGCTGTAGTAAAACCAACAACCTGAGACATTATAGTCCTTGTTTATGAATAAAATAAACAATGACACAGAAATATGAACAAAAATACTTTCTAATCCCAACCTAATCACTCTGAATACCCACCGGTTTCCTGCGAGGTTTGGTTTAGAATAAAAACCTCATCGTGGTGTAGGGATGAGTTATTTATTCAAATAACTTATCTCACACTTCTCATAACTAAGCTATGAGAGAAAATTTTACCAAGGTTTCTTCTCATGACTTAATACTTGTCTGTGCAAAGTGAAGTGACACAATGAGGGAACTTAGAC